GTTTTTTTTCCATTTGAAAATAAGACTCTCTTGTCAGACGAGAACAATTTTTTATCAGCTTCTGCATTTAGTCATCAATTAAATAAGAAACTTAAAATGTTTGTTGACTGCATGCATTTTTAACATTTCAATTACAATAATTGGTCATTCTGCATCAACTAGAATCATCTACTGAGATAAATTTAGATTCAATAGTTCCATGTATAGACATCATACATCAATTTCAGAATTGGTCAATTTTATTCGATAAACTGACAGGTGAAATTGCCGAAAATGAAATAAAGTCAAATTAAATTGTTTTTATTGTATTTTGCAGGATAGATTGGATCGTTTTTGAAGTAAGAAAAAATGCGCTAAAATGCTTTACGGCCCTATAGAGATTCCGATAATTTTTGTTCCATTCTTATTTTTTCCTTTAGAAATTCCCAACATTCCATTTCCTTCTGCTCCGTTCATGACATTATCGATGGGCATGTAATAAAATAAATGAGATTTATGTAGAAGCGGAAAGGATTTAAATATGAGGCTATTATGTATTATAGGCCATGAAATTGCAGAAAATCAGTTTAGGCCGGTTCTTGCTGATTTCCTTTGTTTATTTTTTGTACTTCCTCACTCTATCAACAAATTTGTATCTGCTTATTTATTTGTGAACGAAACACAAGCTCATAATCTCAATTTATCATTGAAAACTTTTTTTTTGTTCCTTAGCGCCTTTTTTAAGTTTTCTATAGCATATAGCACAGCAGCAGCAACATGGGAGAACATACCTTTCATGTTTGAGGGCAAAAAATAATTTTTTTCTTCTTCCTTTTCCATTCGGTACTTAAGTAAGCTTTAAGAATGGAAATAAATAAATAGAAGATGATGAAGTCTGAAGGAGGGGTTCATTCCAATTGAAATGAATGATTCACCGCAGGGAATAAGGATTCGTTAAGTGAAAGGTACAAACATTATCAAGAGGATAAAAATTTTTTTTTAACTTTTTCGCAACTTCCAATTACGAGACTAAGGGAGAGTTCATGACTTATCAAAACTCATGGGAGATGCTTATTGCATCAACATTCACAAGCATACGTCTACAATTATTCATTATACTCATGACTTTAATCGGAATTTCTCATCAGCAGCCCTACATCAAAATGTTCACTATAATTAGCTCTGCATCCGGTGACAAGCAAAAAAAAGTAAGTTTTTGTTGTGTATATACATGCTGTATCTCTACATACACATACACATAGTCTAATGAAATTAACTACCTACGGAAAACGGAAGGAATTCCAATAAGCACCATTTGTACATCTCTCACATTGAAGGTGCTTTCGTCTCTACATTCATGCTTTTATCGCACATTTGCACCAAACAATAATGCCATGAATTGTGTATTGACTGGCTGTATATACCCATAACAACTTGAAACTGCCTGACTAAACATTATTCTGCATTCTGGCTGGATCCTAATGTCAAGTAAGACAGAAAAATTTATAAATTGAGTGAAAATGTTAAGCATGAATGTCTTTTAATGGTTTAAATATCCCAAGGGACATTACCCATCCTCATCATTATGCTTTCATTAGCTTTAAAATATCGCTGTCAACACAAAAGTATTTCATAAACTGTCCCTTCAGAATATCTTTCAATTATGAAGTTAGAAGCACTTCAGTTTTAAGCTATTGAAAAGGGAATAACAAGTTGATTGTTAAGGGTAAGTACAGTGTCTTCTAAACTTTGTCTCGCTCAAGGCACACTTTGAGAATAAAAGTTTCTAGCGACACACCAAAATATGTTCAAATGCTTCCTCGAAATTGAGAGTCATGACCTTTTTGAGGCTGTCAATGACGGGAAGTCACAAATTTTGTACCAATTCATAATACAATTTCAATAATAACACAAATGCGCTTGTAACTTCAACTTTTCAGTTCTGGATCTTTAAAAAACTCTACAATCTCCTTGAATATTATTCCAGTTATAGTTGAAGATATACAGACACGACAAGTTCATACATTATTTTAGCAAATGTTCTGTGGTGCTCCAATTTAAGCAATTTAAGCAATTTAGAAGCGGAAATTAAATATTCTCCAATTTAATTTTTAAAAAATGCTTTTTAAATGTTTGAAAATCTATCTTGACATTTGAGAAGTCTAATTTAACATGCAGGTATGTATTTGAACTTTTAGACATTAGAAACATGAAATTTTATGCGCATTTAAATTTTGTATTTTTAAAAATTCAGTATGCTGAATAAGTTTGTATTAACGAAAAGATTTTTATCATTATTTATTTAAATTAAAATAGGAGGATGTCAGTCTTGACATGAAATTGACATCTTCTTCTTCATGCTATGAAGTAGGTAATAGATCCGATAAAAAGAGGGAAAAAAAGGTCAAAGGACGAAAAATTCTATGAATATACATGCATAGCATTAAATGTTGACAACAGATAATGAAAATTCAGATGAAAGGAAGTAAACTTAATACTCAAAAAGGATATAAAAGCCTGCCACTTGATTGCCCAATGACATGGTTTTAGAAAATATTTTATAAAAACTTTATGGAATCAAGTTTCTCTAATTATGTGAAAATTTAAAGATCTGAAAACTTTATGAGGATGTCCTAAATAGCACATCAAACTACTTCCATTTCCTTTTCCTAATTCTTGCCTTTTCTGAATTGACCAATCAATCAAAATGAAAACATTCTACACATAAAATTGTTTGATTAGGGATCAACATAAGCACATTAAAGTCTGTAATTTTCCGGAATATTTCAATCCCATATCAAACGTAGAAGGAATGAAGTTATAGATTAGTAATATCAGAATCAATCGTTATCACATCCAAAAATTCTGCTTAAAGAGTTTTATCTTATTTATGGCTTATTAAACCTAACGAGATTCCACAAGATTATGTATCGGACTATCACTAATAAATTAATTCCAAATTACGGAAATGTGGAGAGAGTATGACAAGAATGTATACCTTTTGTTTGGATAAATACCAGCTTTGGAAATCTGGTATTCATGAAACAAGTCAACTAGAAAAGTTCCACCTTGTAGACATTATTTTGTGTGATAGAAAATAAGAAGAATTGATTTTACCTTTTTTTCTATGGAAAGAGAGCAGGCAAAGCTGCTCAAATATCATTATCAAATTCTTTACACATGTTCGTTTTGGGAATTTAATGAATGAATGAGCAAAGTTTTTAAACGACAAGTTGGGAATTTATAAGAAATTAATGTCCTTTTGATGTATCTTTGCAGTAGACTAGGTACAGATAATGAATTTTAGAAAGTAATTGCTTTAAATTGATTTGTTTTTAAGATTCGCAGGAAAAGTATCATTGCTATTTATTGAAATCTATTGGAATCTTTAGTTGTATTAAGCATCACATCAACGGGGCCGTTCAATTATGACGTCCGATATTAACGGTCATTTTTCAAAAAAGAACAATGGACTTTCAGGAATTTCTATTGTTCTTTTCTCGCTGACCCCCCCCCCCCCCCCAGGAGATTGCAATTAAAACTATTGGAATTTTCAAGTCCTTTAAGCTTAATTTTTAAAGTCAAGGATTTTATTTGTATTCAAAATTTAAGTCATTCCAATAATGGGGAAAATCAAGGGTTCATATTTGAGGTTATTAAGTCTTCATGTGTCTTGACGTGAATTGCATAAAAACACCAAAAAAGGATATCTAAATAGTCATTTTTGGCTATGTTTAAAAAGACCCAATGAGTGCGGATGAGAACTAATTTTCGATTTCGAAGGATCTAATTTTCGAGCGCGGGAAAAAAATTTGAATTTGAAATTTCCGTTACAATTATTTGTTTACATTTTGCATTTAAATTGCTTCTTGAAAAAAGAATCCTCATGGGAACTTTCAGTAGAAGTTCAATGCTTTTTAATGTGTCTAGAATTCATTTATAGGCTATTAAATTGTCTTATTTCATGTTCTGATCCTTCATTTAATCAACAATTTATTGATACAGTAATTGCCCAAGTTGAAGTAGTTTTTGAACATTGTGAAGAAACGATTGATAAACTATTAAAAGCTTTTGTTAAATTTAGAGCAAAATTTCAGTATCCGTGTTAATTAATACATAACAGAAACAATTTTGCATCAAAAAACAATTGAAATAAATTTGTTTCTTAATTAAGTCGTTAACGTATTTTTATTTTTCAAAATTTCATATTTTCGAATTTTTTCGAATTTTTTTTGAATTTTTTCGAAATTAACCAAAATTAACTGACATTTTCTTTGTTCGCACTCATTGGAAAAAGACATTTAATTCCATTCAAGAAGTTTATCAAAAGCTTTTCAATGAAACTTAATATTGCTTCATCATTTAAGCTACAATCAGAATGAAACTCATTAATAGTCACTTAAACTGTTGAACCATTTTTAAAAGCTTTTCTCATTTTTCATTGTCGAACATTCACAGAAATAAAAAAATAAATTCTAGGAACTTGAACAATGAGAAAGTGCCACTCAATATCTCTTAATGTTCATTGTCAGACTCAACAATGATTAAACTATTCTTCATTCAAAAGTATTTTCCCATCGAAAAACAAAGGAACTGAATGACATCAACAAATTCAGAACGTTTTATTTCATGTCAATTTAATTAAGGTCCAGCAATGAAATTACTTGACCGATTGCATCCAGATTCTTCATGTACTTGAACATTATTTTCAATTTGCTCTTTTTATGCATGCTGACTTTTGGGTAAATGAGTGTAGCTAGTAAGGAAGCTAAACATACATCCATGAAAAATATATCATGTTCATGTCGATAACGAGTTCGTTTCTATTTATGCGAAAGGCAGTGTGCTTGATTATATTGCAAACATATTTTATGTGTAGCATAAACCTCAGTCAACCTACATATGCTCCACATAAAGCTCTAAAAACTGCGTTCGTCGAAGAAAAAGAAAAGAAGGAAAATTCATTAAAAAAGTGTTGGGATGTTAAGTCGCAAATGGATCGCAACGGATGTGTCTAAAAATAAAAAATAAAATTGTAAAGAATTCGTGGGACACAGGTGAGGATGCGTAGGATGTCTTTGAAATTTTCACTGACAATGGATAGAATACACAAAAGGAAAAGAAATCTCAGAAATGAGTACTGTTGTGATTTTCGAGAGTGTCTACTCTCTTCCTGTCTCAATTTTCTCTCAAGCAGCAAAAAAAAAAAAGTCGTCAAATAAAGCCCGAAAAATGGTGAATCCCTACGAAAATATTTTGTAGACATTTACCATCGGAGTTTGTTGTTTTGGTGTACTTGACATTGAAAGCCATGCTTTCGAGCACTACTCAACATTTCATTGTGCATGCGCGAGAAAATGAGAAAATATGGGAATTAAAAGATGTGAAGGAACAAATACATACGATGAAATCTCGAAAAGTCCTTTTCAGTTTCATTTGCGGCTCCTCTCAGTATGCAAGGGAGAGAAAGATCTGAAGTATGTAAATTTTAAAACTGCACCATAGAATTTTCAATATACTTAAAAAAGAGGAAAAAAAGGAGTCGACAAGAAAGTTTCTTTTTAATTTTTGCATTCCTCTGCCTTATTTGAAGAAAAGAAACTTCAAAGCTTGTGTCAATATTAAGAAAAAAAGGTTTTCAAAGCCTAGCTTTTGTGCTTTTTAGTGTGTATTGCTAAAAAAAAATCTTTTTTTCCGTGTTCTTGTGATATTAAAAAAAAAAAAGAATAAAAAGCAGTTCATTTTGTGATTTTCAAGTGTACAAAAAAATAATTAAAATCGGAAAAAATGCAAACATCTATCGGAATGTATGAAGTGACGCAACATGACGAGCCGAAAAAGTTAAAATCTTTTTTAATCTATAACTTTTTTCATTTTCATTCTACATCTAGAAAAAAAAATAAAAAATTTTTCGCATTACTCATTTTCATCTATCCAACTATCCTACGCTCTCGCTCTTTTTGCTCTTCACATAACTTTTTTTTTCATTTGGGAGCGCCCATCCTGTCGTATGAAATGTTTTGTGACCTTGTAGCTTGGAAGCATTTTATACCAAAAAAAAAAACAAAAAAAAAGTTTTCATGAATGTGCATCAAAAATCTTTATTGCCATACAATCAATATTCAATTGAAATTTTATGTGCAGCTTTTTTTTGGTATTAATGGCAAACATTTATGCATTTTTGGATATGTTGAACAGTTTCAGCATGTGTCATGTGCCTAAAATGTTGTTTATTTGCTTAACAAAAGTTGTTTATTTTCAATTTTTCTGAACATAATTTTTCTGCTGCTCTGAATATTCTTTTTTTGCGCATGATGATAAATGCACAATCATACACAATTCGATCCATCCAAGAACGGCATGAGGAAAGAAAAAAATTATTTCATTTAAAATTTATAATCATTTTACCTCCTGGTTTCCACAAATTTCCGTACATTTATAGACTAAATTCATATAATATAGCCACATGTGCTGCTTTTTTTTCTCCACTCATGAAACCGCCCTTAAATATTCGATTTTTCGCCATGCTCTTCCTGGATATACACGTTAGTTCTTTTTTCTCTTTTTTTTCCTTTTCTCACAAAAAAGAATAATCATAATCTCTAGAATGCTATATAACATGTGCGTCTGTATGTGTATTGCTCTGTGTGATAAGTGGAGCAGCTTTTTTCACATGATATATATGCACACATTACCTCAACAGCAGCAATAATAATAATAATTGTGATTTTTATAATGTTAAATTATTTTTCTTGCCATTTGAGCTTATTTACATATGGGTAGCAAAGGTAACATACTCTTAAATTAACACTTACGATGAAGCCTCAATATTTACCGACCAAGTGAGATTTTTATGAGTCTCTTGCCATTGCTAAAATTCAAGGTTGTTCTAAGATATCAGTTGAGTGTTTATGTAAGGATATCTTTATTCCTGCACATGATTTTCACCTCATCCTGTCTAATAAAGCTGCAACTCTCTTGAATTTAATTAAAACTAGAAACTACAAAAGTGGAAAAATCCAAGGAAATTGAGTGAACTCCTACTCATCAGCCGAGGATTGAAAAAGTTTTCAAATTGCGTAGCAAAATGCTTTAAATGTGTCATAAAGTTATAGGCTTTCATCCTTGATAGTAAACGGATGAGCAATTTAATATGAGTCATGGACAGAATTTGTAGAACTTTTACGTAAATGTGGGTCACATTTAACCTAGACTCTCTTTTTTTTCTTTTCATTTGGATTTTGTGCTTTGATTCTAAAATTATTCAACCTTTATAGTTAGTAATTATGGATTATTTTTTTGTTGTATTGTCGAAGTTTGTTTAATTATAGACATGTGCTCGATTACTTTGAGGTCGCTTATAAATGATGTTCATTAAAATGGAAGTGTAAGGGTATGTGCACATTAAATGGGAGAGTTTCCCATTTAATTACCCTTAAAAATCTGATTTTTAATCTTCATCATCGTTGAACGACGTCCAAAAGTAGCATGGGTAAATCCAACCTAATTACAAAATCCTTTAAAAATTCAATTTTCATAGAATAATTACAAAAGACTTTGAGCTCTCGTTCCTTTTCAAAACAGAAATTCATAGTCATAAGTCCTTAACAACATTTTAAGTATGTCCAAAGTAGCCCCATTGTGAGAACATACATATGGCTATTAAAAGTTTTAAATACAAAAAGGCTTCCTAAATTATAAAGCACAATGAAAATTGTACGTTTTGTAATGACGTGCTAAACAACTTTCAAAGTAATTAAATTCGCTTCAAAATTTCTTCTTCTTCTCATTTCCATTGAAATCGACCTAAAACGCAATTGAAGGAAGTACCGAAAAAACAAAGCAAAAATGGTTCTTTGTTTTAATTTACGTGGAATAAAAATATTTTAACGATTTTATTATTGGCAATGGACAGCATCTAATTTTGTTAAGTAATACAATGTTTACGAATTCAAGTGCTGCATTAAAAATAAGTAGCTTCTGTAAAAGAAAGTATCATTAAAATTGTATTTGAGAATGGAATGAATGCACGAAATACTTGAAGCAATATTCTCACTCGTAAATGTGCCCATAATTCCAAATACATACGTTCTTTGCCTTTTTTTGTATGCATAAAGGAACAAGAAGGAGAACACATCTCGCGGAAATTGTGCAATTACATGTTCTTGAGCGGAAGACGTAAGAGCGATATGAAGGAACAACATTCTTTCAGGCTATTATGGTTATATCTAAATATTTACGTATGTATTTTTTGAATAAATTTTATACCATTAAATACACATGTGAGGGAACTTAATATTCCAGTTACATATTTGATTCCGACTTTTTTTCCTCAACTTTAAATTATTCAAAAGTATCAGGAAGTTCTCCAGGGTGTGCCCCAGAAACGTAAAAAGCACAAATCAAATTTTCAATACTTCGACTTCCTTTTTTTCTATAAGGAACGGACTATAGCATTTCCATATTATCTCGTGCGAATGTTCCATAAAACAAAAAAATTCTCTTCCTTTTTGTTTTTCCTTCCCTGATTGGTAAGGAAGGAAAGATTGTGCCAAATTCTTATCGTAACCTTACTGTCGCACAATTGCGTTAGGAACCAACCTTTTTGTTATATTTAACAATTGTATGCAAAACACAAAAAGGGCAAATATACCCTTCAATATATCATGAAATGTGTACGGAAGGAAGCTTCAATGTATTTTCTAAAACACAATGAAAGGCTCGTAACTTATGAACTTTCTTATAGACACAGACATCTCTATGCTGCCTTACAATAAGTGTGGATGAATATATTAAGTCTAATTTTAGTAAAAGAGTTAAATTTAGAATAATTTGATTGATGGACTTTTTGGCTTGTGCTGGATCTTATGTTTTGACATTAGTGTCAATCATTGAATGATTAAGTATGCAAAGATCAATAGTTTGACAAAAAAAGGGTACAAATTAAAACAAAAATAGTTTTAAACAAAAGATTTTGAAGTTCCAAAAATTCAATCCATAGTTATTGTCCACCTTTTTTATGTTCTTGAGCCTTTCTATTTAATTTACATCCACGACAACTTTTTTATCATCTTGACAAATGTAAAGTCTATAAGAAAATGTGAACACAAAATCGGGGAATTTCTTCTTTTCCTATAAAATATAAAAGAATTTCCTCACGCTGAGGACTTGAATATTTTACATTCACAAAACCTTTCAATTGATACGAAGGTATGAATTTTTAAGATTACCAAACCATTTACATTTCCAAATCATAATTGACAATTTGGACGGATTTTTGACACATAACAAAAATGGATTTGAAGGTTAAGGCAGAAAATTGTTGTTTCGGGTCGATAAAGGGATGTAACATGCTCTCATGAAAAATTATAAATGATTGGGTCGAATCCTTAATAATTTGTAATTTAACTTGAATGTGATGCGTACGTGGAATATTAAGAATAATTTTGTTCAATGGAACTTACTTATTCATTTTAGGCTGACTGGAAACGTGAGAATTTCCTTAAATTACAAAATTTACTTTGAAGACTGGCTTAGCACTCATGGAATGTTGAGGAAGTGTGTGCATTAGCTTTAAAACTTTTATGTCTTAGGTTGTTTAGAAGCTTCTCAATATTAGCTGTAGAGCATGGCTTTTTTGGGCGGATTTTTCTCATAAATTCATTAAGTTTCCAAAAAAAAGAATTCTTCTCAGTCACTGCTGAACATTAACTTTTTCTCATCGAACGCTGATTTTTTTATTATCGACACGTCACAAAATTTCGTTGATTCATTCAAAATTACGCAGAACATGATATTTAAATTTAAATTATATAAGCTCCAGCATATCATTAATGTTCATTCATGCCAACATACATATGTGTAGTTCGTTGAATAATTGTCACACAATGTAGAAAATAATAATAAATCGTATATACTTTTCATCCTAGCATGGCATTTGAAAATTTATTGAATCAATTTTTGAGAATACAAGCGAAAATGCAGCAAAATAATTTTTTGGATGTAGCTTCCGATATTTTATCATAAACATAAACTAACGAGTAGCATGAAGACTCTCTAGAGAACTTTTAAAGTATCCGCAAACTATCAATTTAGGAGAAGTGAAAAAATTCTTGAGCATTTAAAAGCTTTTCATGCATTTCAATGCTCTGTCGCACTTGACCTTAGATATGCGACGAGAATTTCTAAACTAGGAACATTCAGTACGACATGACTCATGACACACATCCCTAATGTACAATTTTTGAAGAATTAATAGAGTAGAGGTCGATTAACACATTTTCACACATTTTATTGAACATTAGGAATGGAATCAGACTGCATTTTATAAAATTGGATGTCCTATAATATAAAAATTAAGCCAGTAAGACTTGAGGAAATTACACAATTGCTCCAGATTTTTTTTAAGAACTGTCCTGATTTTGATATATAAAAAAAATCAATGGCACCTCCTCGTAGATGTCTTTTATCTTTTCTTTTAGCTCTGGCATTCGACTGTCAAAACAGCCTGCAGTAAAATGTTTTATTTGCTCTGCAAATTTTCCGTCTCCATTAAGGAACACGTCCAATATTTTATTACTCAGAAACGTTTATCAGAATCAAGCCAAAAACTCAGAAGACACGTATGTAGATTGACGTTCTTGATTTTAGATAAAATTTAATTTGTCAACCTGTTATTTTCCCTCATTAATAATCGTGGCTTTTTTTTTTTGACAGAACATGACACACTGGATGAATATTTGAGTAAACAGCAATTAAAAATTTGATTCTAATAGTCGACTTAATAATTGTTTTACCGGATGTAGTTTAGTGCTATAAATGTGTTTATAAGTACCTGTTCTGAGCGCATTTTTTCTCATGAATGAAAGTGCGTAGCGATGCTCTTGAGATATTTGCATTCTTCATTATTGTTTTTTTTTCACCTATCTAGAGCAATTCTCTTGAGAGAATGCAGGATGAATTGAGTAATGATTATAACACCAGCATTTTCCACTCTGATTATATCCGTCACAGCACGCTTTTGAAATAATTCAAGTATCATTCTTCATTGCGATGGAAGTAAATGCAAATTCCATGTTCAAGTTTCGTTTGAATGACTTAAACCAGCTTACGCGTTATAAGAAACAAGCATAAAAAAATTATTTCTCGAAGCTGCTTTGAAAATTTCCTCGCTTTGCTACAATGAAAAAAAATTTTAATTCTGTTACATTTAGATGAGCAATTTTTTGGTACATTGAGAGCGAATAAATGGTAATGATGTTGCCAAAAAATTAGCTATTATATACATAAATTGAAATCTTAATTTGCATATCCCACATATTTGTGGAGTTTTAAATTGGCAATAAAAAAAATAATAATAATCCTCCGGTTCCAATAATGCATGATCTACAATACCAAAATGTCCTCTCAAATGAGCTTTTTGCATCATAAATAAATTTCCAAATCTTTATTGACAAGCATTCAAAAACTTTTCCATTCAAATAAGCTTTATCCTCGTCATTTTATTGATCCTTCAATGTTGTATAACATTTAGTTTGAGAATTGAAAGATCCAGAGATGCATTTCAAAAAATCTGTTATAAATTCAAATTTGTCACCAGAATGAGACAAAATGAACTTATTGAGAGGACTTAGACACAAAATAAAAATTTCACATACCATTCACAATAAATCAAAAACAGAGAATACAAAGCACTGATAATGGCACCCATTTTTTAACGAGAGTAATCACATTTTCACATCAGAATTGGTGTCAGAAAGTTTAAGTACTGCTCTATCAGTTTTTATCATGCCCATGAGCAAAATTGCTCTTTAATTGCTTTATCGCAATCTTTTGTTCTAAATTATAATAATTTTTATCGGCAACTGAATGGTAAATTTATGAAATTATTCAAGAATTATTTTCAAATGCCATGAAAGGTTTAACAGTAAAATAAAAAAAAAAATTGTACGATTTCAGTATATAAATAATTATATAGCGATAATTACCACCATAGCAATAACATTTCCATTTTGTTTGTGTATCTAAAAGTAACAAAAAAAAGTAATCATTTATTCTTCTTAAAGCTCCCGAAGCTCTTTATTTAATCCACAAAAAATATTTTCATTCCTTTACATAACGATAAATATGGATAGGAAAAACATGGTTACGAGACTGTGGAAAGGACTGAGTTCAGGCTTAAAGACTGAAGACATTGCTAGCTTGCACATCTCACAATGGCAAAGTCACAAAAAGGTTTTGCTGCTCTACTTGTTCTATCGCTGGATCTGTGCCATAATTTTCCTAACCATGATCGTGTGCTCCGTCATCGAAATCGGAAGAGGTGGAGAAAAGTTTGAGCACCATTATGCAAAATGGTGGATCTATCTGACACATTGGACTGTTTTGATTTGTGTTTTACAGGTACATATATCCAATACCTTTATGTTATTGACGAGGATTGTCGGCAATAAAGCCGTTTATTTATTAAATTAGATTCTTCTGTTCTGTTCTGTTTAACATAAAAAGACAATATATCCATAGTCGATAATGACGACGATGTAAAAGTTGTTATTTATAGCATCTAAATTATTCCCTCATACTCATTCTCATTTCTTTAATAGGGCTGGCTCGCCGCTGTAATTTGCACGAAGGCTTTAATGGATAATAATCGCGATTATGAGTTCGTATTGCAGACAAAAGTTGGCTATGTACAACAATTTTATTGGATTTGTTATTCTGTTGGAACCGTTTATGCATTTATTGTGTACGTTTCTTATTCTCGTTCACAAAAGATATATGGATGTGCTTATGCAAAAAGTATAGTTTCTCAATCTGAATTTCTTCCTCTTTATCGAGCGACAATTTTCTCTATTAGATTTCAGCATGGCTGATTTTCAAACCAATCAAGCATAGTCGACAGAGCTGTATATCTTTTTCAATATATTTTGTCCTTTATTTTCGAACGACTTCGTTTCTCATTTTATTTCCCCACCTGAAAATTTTTGGTCCGAATATTTTGCTGAATGTGATGTTTATTGCTTATTTGAATGATTGGAAAGTGCTTGAAAAATGTGAGCAAGGCATTTAACAGTGTACTTAATCAACAAATTAGCATAGACTATCCAGAAACTGCAAAACAAAAGTATTTTCAGTACGGCGTGGAAAGAAAAAACTGCAAAAATTCAAATATTCGAAAAATAACGGCTTGTTCCTTCGACTATCATTTATGTGAGTCCACTGTATGTCAGCTTTTGTGGTGAGAATATTCTGTTTCAAAGGAACTAGCTTTTTGTATCCGTACACGTCCGGACATCGTGTCTCACTCTATTTTACACTCATTAATTATTCTCTAATTTTAATTTTAGGACGTTCTTGTACTGGACTACTGTTTATGATCCAGGTAATTTGCATATGTTACATACCCGAAAACATGTAATTTATATGTTCCTATGGCTTTGCCTTTTTTTTTTTTGCTCTTTGTAGAGGTTGACACATTCGACTTGATAAACTTTTTCGTACATTCTGTTTTGGCTGTAATAATGTTTTCTGACCTGTTGCTGGTTGGTCATCCGGTGAGGATGGATCCAGATTTATACTTCTCAAGTACGTCCGAAAGTTTTTTTTTCCAACCTTCATAATATAATTTTATGTATCACAACCTTTTTTTTTTTTTGCTTACATTCTCATTATAGCTGGATTGGGATTGGCATATTCAATTTTTTCATTAATATACTACTTGTGCGGTGGAACCGACCGTCAAAATGATCCCATCATTTATCCTTTAGTGAATTGGGAGAAGCCAGGAAAGACAATTGTCGTTTGTGTTGGTGCAATATTCTTTGTTGTTATCGTTCATATTTTATGTTGTTGCGTATGCAAGATACGATACCTTATTCATAAGAAAATCTTTGTAAAGAAAGAGAAAAAGTTGAATACATGCAAAGAGCATGCGAAGATGTTGAGTGAACAGAAGGATTTCACTATTCCGTCAGTATTAGACTTGAAATAATTTAACTTATTAGCAATTACGAAAAAACAAAAAACGAGATAAAGAAACAACATTAATTAATTGAAAATTTTCATTTATTAGTAACAAATCAAAATTTTATACATTTTAAACGACATAAATTTGGAATTTAGTGGATATGATTGGTTAACAACAATTTTCTTAGGATTAACAAAAGTTTGAAACTTGCTCAAAAAAAAAAATCAAAATTCAAGTATTTTCGTTTGTGGTGCAATAAGGCATAAATACATACCTACTTAATATAATTAACGCAATTCGAACATTAATTGAATTAACAATTATAATTTTGGCAGTAAAGAGGCGAGGTCAGTTTTCGGATATTTCTAAGAATTTATAGAAGAATTTAAAGTTTAAAAAAAATTTGGAGGATCATGAAGCAAATCTTTAAGATTTTCGAGTATCTAATACTCTTGACAATTTGTTATTGAATCGTGCATTAACATTTTATGACTTTTATCACTAAATTATTCAGTTTGATTGCGTTTTAGATTCCACGATTTGCCCCAAATACTTTTTCAACAAAGTTCGCTTGATTCCAAGAATATGAAGCTAAAATGTCTCTTAATGTAACAGACTGCGCCATGATTTTTAACAATTCAAAAGAAAAATCCTCAAATGTCATTATTTCTTCAAAGCAAATGCCAAATTACATACGAATAAGCCGTTCACAAATGACATATATTTTTTTGAATAGAAGAAAATCTGAAGTTTTGTGTCACTTTTAGATAACGAGAGTTGATATCATTTTCTGACATTTAAGTGCTGTAAGAGAGTGACAGGATGTATAAAAAGTTTATAGAATGTCACAGTTACGTATGGTTGGTGCTTTCTTATCTGAAAAGCACGTCATCGACATAGCGAGTGCAAAAACAGTAGTTTGTAGTTTTTGGAATCAAAAGTCTGAAAGTAAAGCTATTGAGTTTCTATTAAAAGATAATAACAGAATAAATTCAAGGATAGAATAAGATCCTACTTCAAATGAAGCTTAATTAGCCTGATAAGTGTCGTTCTAATGACTAAAAGGAACAAGTATTTATTAAATTTATTGTTGAATTCATTTCTAGGTCAACAAAGATTTATCATTAAGATTAATAAAGTTTCATATCGCGCGGTAATGCTTTCCTCTAATGAATGAATAACCCCAAATATAGCAAGCATAGAACTAAATCATTAAAAGAAAAAAATGACAACCTTGAACTGCAAATGTCCTTTTCTTAACGACACAATCTTGATAGACTAGCTCGTGTGGCTCAAAACAGCTATTTTTTTTATCTTGATCAGCTATGTTAAGCTAGGATTTTATCTTTAACCCTTTAAGGCTTTCGTCGATGAAGAAAAATATATATATGCACGCAATCTAAAGCATAAAAACATTCAATGAGCTAGAATTTTAATGGTACCTTCTCCAGAGTGGATTTAAAGTGGCACAAAATCTTTGAGCTTATGAGGATCATTGAAAAGAACTTAAGTTTTAAGATTTCATGCCATTTTGGAAGTCTCAAAAGGCTTTAAGGTGTAGAAAGCTTCAGAAAGCAAGTTTCAACTTGTGCCAAGAGCACTATGGAAATGCTGAGTGGGGGCAAAAAAAAACTGAGAAGAGAAAAAAAAATTGGCATTTCCACAATCAATAATTTCATCTAGGGAAATTTTTCATGTGCTTCTTTTTTTGTTTGTTGTGAATATGAGTCATAATGTGGTTTTATCGTACGATTTCATGACATAAATGTTGGAAGATTGAACCTCCTTGATATAAAAAAAAAATCCTTAAGACATAAAAAATTTGAGAAATTTAACAAAATGTTTTTAGCAAAACCACAAAAAGCACGATAATAATAAAAAGTTATTTCTTAAGCACTTACAAAGAATACAAATTGTAGACATTTTTTGCAGTAACTCTATTGTGAAACAGAAAGAAAATATGAAACTTTTAACCTTTCAATTAGATTTAAATCTCTAAGACTTGAAAAAGAACATACAAAAAGAATTATAACAAAGCAAATAATTAAAAAATAATACAATTTCGATGAATGGATGGATGGATGGCGAGTATAAGAAAGAAAGAAGAAGCAATGACTTATTTTTGTTAAAGAAAATGGAAGAAGTAAATCGTGTACATTTTTAGTAAATGTTAACGCTCAACAAAAATATATATTATATTTCTGATATAATACACATCGTATTATTATAAAGTAATGTAAAATTTGCCAACAAGTATAAAAAGATAATAAAGATTACTCTATATCTTCAATAAGCCTCTAGATTCGGCGCTATTCTTTATTTCCAGTTGATGATTTTACAAACGATTTATGAAACTCAAAATTTTAAATTTTAACGGATTTTGAACATTTTAAAATTCGCTCAAAATGATGTCAATGATGAACCTGCGCTTATTTTCAAGGATTTGGCATCAAAGTGACTGAATGATCTATTAATAATCCGGTGAGTAACTACAGGAGCGTTCAAAAGTGAGTGGACAGAACAAATTTTTTAATAATTTCGTTCAAAAAGTATCTTCCACTAAACGAAATCACTTCAAATTTTCACAGCATATTTAATTTTTGATGAGATTTCATATGCAAAACAAATTTTGTACTATAATTAAGTAATTTGAAAAAACCGTTAAATATTCAAAATCGATAACATGCAAAAGTGTGTGGACAATTTTCAATGACAAAAAAATGTGTTTATAAGTATGTTATGGTAACTTTTTAAGATGGAAATCTAAAGTTTTAACGATTTTCTTAATTTATGTTCAAAAATTTTCCACCAAAACCACGTGTTTTCTCGATTTTTCTTAAATTCAAAATGGCTACTATTTTTCATCACTTTTAAGCAAATATGTCATATAATTCAATCTTAATTAACTTAGACTTAACTGATTTATATAGTATTTTTAATAAGCTATCAGAATATATATAGTTTTTAATAGTAAAAGTTGATATTTTGCAAAAAAATTATAGAAATATTATTTTCATTGTCGATTTTCTCACAGTACAGAACATTAAATTGAGGAAATCTTGATAAATACTTTGAATATATAAGGGGCTGTTCACTTATTACGTAACGCGAAAAAATGACTTCTTAGACCCCCCCCCCCCCCTCGTAACAAAATTTGTATGAAAAAAAAATTTCCTTGTTTGAACCGTAACAAAATCTTAGACCCCCCCCTCCCCCTAAAAGCGTTACGTAATAAGTGAATGGCCCCTAAGACTTTTTGGTATCAATTTATTGCATTTTATTTGTACAACATTATATAAGTAATTTCAGTTTGCTTAGAAAATTATCCATCAAGTAACAAGCTGTCAAATAGTATGTCAATTGAGCTTCTCAAATAATGAAAAATAAATTTTTGAAAAATTATCTTTCTGTCTTGAAAACTTTTTACGTTTTGATTCGTAACGCATAATTTTGTTAAAATTTAACATTTAAAAATTACTTTCTGCAACAGATATTCATTTTAAACAGATTTTTCAAAAATTTATTTTTCATTATTTGAGAAGCTCAATTGACATACTATTTGACAGCTTGTTACTTCATGGATAATTTTTTAAGAAAACTGAAATTACTTAGGGTTCGTTCACTTATTACGTAACGCACTAGGGGGGGAGGGGGGGTCTAAGATTTTGTTACGGTTTGTTACAGGGGGAGGGGGGGGGTCTAAATTTTGTTACGTAACTTTTCAAAAAATATATTTTTTTATAATTTTTTCTATATTAATTTTAAATTTTAAAGGAAGTATAATAAACATTTGATAAACAATTTAAATGAAAAAAATTATTGTTACGTTATGGGGGGGGGGAGGGGGGGGTCTAAGATTTTGTTACGCTTTGTTACAGGGGGGGGAGGGGGGGTCTAAAAATTCGTTTTTTTGCGTTACGTAATAAGTGAACGAGCCCTTATATAATGTTGTACAAATAAAATGCAATAAATTGATACCAAAAAGTCTTATATATTCAAAGTATTTATCAAGATTTCCTCAATTTAATGTTCTGTACTGTGAGAAAATCGACAATGAAAATAATATTTCTATAATTTTTTTTGCAAAATATCAACTTTTACTATAATAAACTATATATATTCTGAAAGCTTATTAAAAATACTATATAAATCAGTTAAATCTAAGTTAATTAAGATTGAATTATATGACATATTTGCTTAAAAAAGATGAAAAATAGTAGCCATTTTGAATTTAAGAAAAATCGAGAAAACACGTGGTTTGGGTGGAAAATTTTTGAACATAAATTAAGAAAATCGTTAAAACTTTAGATTTCCATCTTAAAAAGTTACCATAACATACTTATTAACACATTTTTTTGTCATTGAAAATTGTCCACACACTTTTGCACGTTATCGATTTTGAATATTTAACGGTTTTTTCAAATTACTTAATTATAGTACAAAATTTGTTTTGCATATGAAATCTCATCAAAAATTAGATATGCTGTGGAAATTTGAAGTGTTTTCGTTTAGTGGAAGATACTTTTTGAACGAAATTATTAAAAAATTTGTTCTGTCCACTCACTTTTGCACGCTACTCTATGTATTAGTCACAAAAACAAGTTTAAGCTTCATTATGGTGAATTACATCATATAACGGAAGTAAAAGTATTTGAAAAAATGTTGGAAGCGACATCTGTGAATATATTGACTCACTTAAAAAGGTTTAATTGACAGCTCACACTCGGCATTATAATTTTGTTAATTCCTCAGACAACAAGCAACTCTTAAATCAGAAAAAATGGTATACCTTGTTAAAGATGAAGTGAGTATTATATTTATAATATTAAGGAAGTGAATAATTCAAAGAAAGCTTGTTAATAAAAGGTGCTAAGAGGTCACTTGAATGATAAACAATTTCGTGACTGATAAAGTTCAAATTATAGATAAGAATGTTACCAAGCAAATTAATCGTATAAATCTAAGTGTAATCGATTTCATAATTAACGCACTTTTGATTTTTTTCGCACTTAAAAAAGTTTCTAAATTATAAGAATTATGTTTGGACGTAAAGTACAAGATTTTGTCAGCAATTGCTGCCTGAAGACAGACTCAGTTAATCATTTTAAAGGCTGTGAAGTAATCAAACTATTAATACTTTCTTATTTTGTCACTTTTTACACATTTGTTTATTGATCTGTGCCTTGACTGCCTAGTTAAATTAATGCTACTTCTCCAGTAAACCGCATTCTTGATATTTCCCATACCTAAATGAGTATGTGTGAAAATAATTGTATTTGTTTGTTTGTGTATAATGTATGCTATATAGAAATGAATAATTTAGCAATTTATGGCATTACCATCAGCAATACTAAGATATTCAGTTGTTTTTATGTATAATGAAGGAATAGATGACGTAATTTTATATCCGAATGATGAATTTGATTTTCATCTTAATAACATTGATTCTTTTATATCCAATTTCTAGAATGACTTCAACTCACAACTTGAAGCTGCCGGTGACAAATTGGTTGTTGTTGACTTCTTTGCTACATGGTGTGGTCCATGCAAGATGATTGCTCCAAAATTAGAAGAATTTGCTTCTAAGTACTCGGAAAGAATTGTTGTTATCAAGGTTTGTAGCTAGCTGATTCACACTTATATATAATACATTTAATGGCATTGGAACATTCCATGCACTACAATTACCTGATGTGACTAACGATTATTATTAAAAACTATGCTTTTAGGTTGATGTTGACGAATGCGAGGAATTAGCTGTTAAGTTCAACATTTCATCTATGCCAACTTTTGTATTCATCAAGAACAGCCAGAAAGTTGATAGCTTTTCAGGCGCCAATAGCGATAAAGTTGAAAAGACAATTCTTCAATATTCAGCATAAATCTAATTGCTACAGTATTGTCAAACTATAAAGCATAAAAATATAAGAGCCTGAATTTTAATCCTTAATGGCTCCCAAATTAACTTAATTTTCTTAGAACTTACTTTCATTTCATCACTAATAACGGATATAAAATTTATTAAGTTTATTTTTTAAAAATATTTTACCAACTTATAACAGAAGCAGATAATAATTCATTGTGCCTCATATTAAGGATTACTTTTTCTAAATAATAATTGAACTGCAGTTCTAACAAAATATTTCCGTTAAATTCCATACATATGATGATGTATCCATAAAAGTGAATAAAATATGAAAAGTTGGTAAATATTTTGTTAATCGATCAGAATTGTAATATGAGTTAATAAAATATTTATTCTATGTCAACAGCTTAAAACAGAATGGTCATGTGAGTTTAGTTCAAAAATTAGCATGTCTAAACGACATTTTATTGATTTTTCAGCTGTCCAGGGAAATTACTTTACTTGATTTATTGTGAATTGTCATTTGCAGTACAGTCGATCATTGGATTTATTTTAAATCTGACGATTTAATTCTATAGACACTTCAATACATGAAATAATTCTTATCAGCACCTTTTTTTACTCAGCATATACAATATATTGACTACGTATACTATAAAACAGTCTATATCTTTTGTGGAGTTTTTAATTTCAGTTTATATTTAGCAGTGCTAGTCGCGTGTTCAATTCATTTATTTTAACTTAATTTACAATAATTTTTAAGTTTTACTGATCAGTGATCAAATTTTTGGTACAAATATAAATTATTAGTAGCATATTGAAGGAGATGAGTCATGAAAATGGACGAAGGAAGCAAGTACAAGTGTCGGAAAAGACTGAAATGTCTTATCTCTTAGACAATAAATCGAACGGGTAAAAAAAATGTGCAATTATCAATTACGTCACCGACAATGAAATATTATAGACACTGTATTCGATTCTAAAGTTTAAAGGCTTTGCGAATGCATCGAATTTTATTTTAAATTGATGATGCGATTAAATGTTTTGTTGCACATGTTGATGAAATTCAATGAAAAGTTTTCAAAACTAATTGTGTGACTATCTACTTTATTCTTTTTGTTTTCAACTTTTTCATTGAAAATTGTGTGTTTATTAGTTGATGATTAATTTGTGTTAATTAAAGTTCTCGGCAATTGTTCGATCGCATCAACAATTCTATTTTGTAAAGCTATTAATTTGACTTAAAGATTACTGGTCATTTTGAATTTAAAAACATTTATACGGTTCTGATTTAACGGATTTTTCAAAATTTGAATAATATTACTTAATCCACCTTTTTCAAATGTCAAAAAACCGTCAAACAATAATGAGAAGTTTTAAGCCTCGAAATAGATTCACAGTGACTAATTTAAATAGACTCTTTCACATTCTGACGAAAACAGTTCTCAGGAAATTCCCCGATATTTAAAATAACTCGTTGAGTCAAACATTTTTAAAATCAACCCCAATAAACTCATGCCTGAGAACTTATGCTCCATTATCTAATCCAATGGATGTTTCATTGAAAACATATCCACATAGGAAATTGATATCGGTGCTGAATTTGTTGACATAGCTGTTAAATAATACAATAAGGGAGAATGTTTATAGTAAAAAGACCTTCTTTAATAATGAAATTTGATAACACTTCTCCACGTTTTGTCTCCACGCTCACCAATTTTGGGAACTAACTGAACGTAATAGACGTCAATGCTGTCGTTTCTTTTTTGTTGTCATTATCATTATCAAAAAATGAATTTATAAAGATAATAATTGCGGGCATGTGATGATGGAATTTTTTTCGACAGCATTTGATGAATCAACACACTTTTTTTGGGATACAGCAAGAACATGTGTTTTTTATTTTCAAAACATCAATTTCAGCAAATTAAATAATGATAAGGTCGGTCAGTCAATATGTTCCCCAGTTAAACTTGAATTCATTACAATTAGTAATGCAATAAAGAATAGGAAAATTCCCAAAAGCAAGATGATCAAGCCGGTTTTGTTCAACAAAGAGCTAAGAAGAAATAAGTTGAAATAATTTTTCTGTACGTCTGGTGTTCATTAGTAGGTTCAAACCATGTGATGACAATTCCATTGAATATGAATTTTGTTGATGTATTCATCGGCAATGTGCGCAATGAGAGAACTAATGTGTTGGGAAAAATTCGTAATCCAAAAGAGAGAATAGACATCCTAAATACACACAATCAAATGACGTCTCTACTACATACTTTTCATTAAATTCGGCTTTCGCGTGGCGCTTGCTCAATTGGAAATGGATATACAAGAAGTATTCGCGCAATACAAACGTGCACGTTTTTTTTCTCCAGAATGTAAGGTATTGAATAAATCAATACATTCCCTAGCATACGACACAAAAATCTCTTCTTGGATATTATTCGTGCATTATTCGGCTCACTGTGTGTAGTGACTAATTCATACATGAAAAAAAGGAATGGAAACCCGATTTGAATGCGAATAGTATTAAACTTTTGACTCAAATCTGCTGATAATGCGCATTATGGCTGCATTTTGTTCTACCGAAACTTTTATTGGAAAACTGGAAGTTTCAACGGGTTTAATTTATTTGAATCTTATGTTGTCTTTTTCGCGGGAAATTTTTGAACTTTTTAAGACAATTTATCTTTAAGATATTGAATTCATGGAAGCTTCATACTTCCTAAATTACTCTTAATATCATAGTTGGGGCCCGTCAAAAATGAATTCTACGTCATCGGAGACCACTTTTAGTCATTTTTTGTGATTTTTTTCCATGAAACTGTATTTTGTTCTTTATTAATATTATAGAATTCGCCGAGACAAAGAATTTGACACCATTATCGTTTTCCTAGCATGTCTGGTTCCTTTTGTAGAGCCATTCGAATATCCACCGATGACGTAGAATTTTCGGGAAAGGGTATTTTGAGTGTAAACAACCTTTAATAACTTCTTTATTCCCAGCTTAAATTTTAGTTTTTCTGTACCAAATTGTGCTATTTCTTCTATTTGTTCATTCAAATTATCATTTTTATCAATACAATGATTGGAAGTTACTTAAATTAACACTTTAAGTTTCAAAATCTTGTAACGAATATCATTTTTTTGAATTTTCTTGTATGTTTTTGGTCAACAAAAAAATTTTATTTTTTCGAAAATTGCTGAAAACATAATTAAAACGTAATACAGCTCATATTTAAATGTCGATAGTATGTTTGTAAGGTTCTATTTTGTGTTTTAAAAGAGATAAAGTTACAAATTCAAGAGTATTAATTAGATTTTCAGCTGATTAAAGTTTTGGTAATTTTGCTCGAAAATATGTGAAATTTTTGAATTTTATTAAACCGTTAAACTGAAATTCCTATTATTTTTGACGGGCCCCAGTTGATAACTTTCATCGACAAACTCTTGTGAAATAGCTACTAAAATGACAAAAATGCTAAAAGTCATTTGAATTTCATAAAACCGTTATATTTAAAGTGTTATTAAATAGTTTAATTAATGCAGTCAATTGTGTGCCAAAATAATGTCATGAACTCAATAACCTTCAAGGTCGTTGAAATATGCGCTCAGAAAAATCAATAGAACGAGTTATTCGTTTGAGCACATGAATATCCAGTTCGGATCTGTGACTGCTCGTATTGAAATGCATTACGTAAAAGCCGAATGTTGCCTGGAGAATGAAACACAGTATATACACAGAGAATTCGTATCCAAAAGTGCTCTACATTTTGTATGTTGAGACAAAATTTTAATACAACAAGCAAGAAACTGTTTTCAGTTGTTCGTCGTGTGTTGTGTTCATCAGATCAAACAGAACAGAGGGAACCGCTTAATATATTACATTATAGAAAAAGGAATTTTTGTTCCGTATTGTGGTGTTCGTAGGGAACTTTATTCGAAGGCTATAGAAGAACTAATAAGAAGAAGAAAATTTTGAAAAATTGCATCATCAATTTCGGAATAAAATCCAACAAAATTTTTGTTAATAAGTGATTTATTCTAAAGAAAAGCTTTATAGGAATACAATTCTAAATTTATTTCATTTAAATTCACGCGAGTTTCAACCATTAAAGTCATAAATTCTTTCTAATAAATATTAAGGATGGCAGATAAAAATAAACAGGGTGAATATTATTCGAGACCAGCGAAATTGGGCAAATGGGAAGGCTTCAAACAATTTCTATGGAATAGTGAGACCAGTGAGATGCTTGGCAGGACGGGAGGAAGTTGGGGTAAGTTGAAAAAATCATCATTTTAAGGACATTTTTTTTTCCTTTCCTGGATGTTACGTAACATAAAGTTTTGTATGGAACAGCTTTTTTTTCTTTCTGTCCTTTTCACTGTGTGGAAAAAACATGGAGGATTGTCTCTCAATGACATTACTCATAAATTAAAGTACATATTCTAGAAGCGATAAGTAATGCATACAGTACGAAACATAACTCACATTTATGAACTTCCAGTTGTCATTATTTGTCATTCCCAGTCATTTCCATTATCAAGTCATTATCTCCTTCAATGCTCGCTTTATGAGCCTTTTACTTCCCTTCCCTTTTCGAATAGCATTAATTAAACTTTTCCATGACTGAAATACACTCAAATGCTAGTTCCTCATACAGACATAAAGTCGAAAAAAAGGTAGATTTGACACAGAAACAGAAAGCAAGCAAGCAATAGAACTGAAAAATAATTGGTAGACGAAAAGGAGGAGGAATTGAGTGTATTTATTGGAATGAGAAACTTAATGTGAGGAATGAAGGAACGAAGCACAGAAAAATCGATGAAAAACGTGAAGTTGCAAGTTAGAATTTCCACACGAATTATTTTGCATAAACGTGAAATTCCACAACTATATGAAACCTATTGACAACTATCTGATAATTTGACACTTTTCATTAAGTATCATTGCTTGCCACTTTTTTCACATTCAACTAGAATGTTCATGCCAGTTTTATATATTTCTTATATTGCTGTAAGGTCCGACAATTTGTTAATTGATTGTATCCAATTCAAACTCATTTAAATAGTCATGATATCGACAATTTGTTGTTGTTGCGAGATGCTTATTGATTAATAATCATTGAAATAAATGTGTGCCTCTCTATGTCTGTATGCTGTACACTCGTCATTAAATTGAGGATGAGAATTTTTCATTCGCTCTGTGACGTAAGACATCCAGCAAATTTTGCTTGTGAACGACACTTTTTCTCGTCCTATCCATGTTTACATTTATTTTTAGTCATCACTACATGCTATATAGTATGATACAATGAGCGAGTTTACAATAATGTAAATGAATGTAATGCAATATTGATGAGGAACGGAAGAAAATGAAAATGTCAAGCTTCCTATGCATAAAAGTTGCCATTGAGGTCACATTCTGTGTGACTTTTTCGGGATTTTTGACCTTGTGTGGTTGAGTTTTTTTCAAAATTTTCTTATTAAAATTGGAGAAGACGAGCTGCTTATTAATTTTTCTGAAGTAGCGTCACGACCTCAATACTCAAAACTCACGAGTGCTGATTTAATTCTATTTTATAATCCAAACTGCAGCCTTGGCATCGAATATAATTGCATATTACACAACTGCTTCCGCAATCAGTTTTATATCCAGGATGAGGATTATTAGGGAAATTTCTAGAATTAACATTGATAATCCTTCAATTTTGGTTTACGGTTGCCAAGATTAATGTTATTTAATCCCCTAAAGCACCTTGAGAGTTCTTTTGATTATTCTGAGATTAAATGATGAATTGAATAGATTCAGGTTTTAGGGATTTTCCCAATGACTTGACTTCTTATTAAACTGCAATTTTAAATTCTCAGTAAGCAGTGTCAGCAGCGTTATACTTTGATTTGGTATGTGAATATTTATAGATGATCAGGACTTAGTGCTAGCTTCTGAAGAATTTCTTCTGATTTTTTCAACAAAATGATGGAACTTGTGGTCAAATTGCTTGTTTAGAGAGGTTTAGGTGTAAGTCTCTTCCGAAAAGTTTCTGGATACGCCCTTCAATTGTAAAACCACTTATTTAATGTCTCATTTGAAGCATAGCTAAAGTTGCAATCCTATTAATACATTCCTAGTTGTGTAAAACAACCTCCCGAGTAGAAAATGGGATTTTGACAAATCGTGGCTTGATATTCTTCAATTTATGAAGTACATACCTAAGTTATTATGGACTAAAGACTGTTACGTCCATTTTATGACATTCTTTAGAATTTCCGTCTATAAATAATACATTATAAGGCTCCATAGAAACAACAATGTAATACATTTGACTGTATGACTAATTCTCATATCAATTGACAAGTTCCAATGTTCTATAAGCTTAATAAATCCAAAAATTAAGCATACTGGCAGTGACAGCATTTTTTCAAGCCACTCAAAAAGAAATTTTTATTCAGGATATTTTAAACATCATTTCCACGAAAGAAAAACTTGCTCGTCATTTCCATGCACACAGAGAGAATTTTCCAATTTTCTTTTATGCTTCTTACATAACATAGAAATTTTCTTTGCACCTTGCTGGAGCTTATTGAACTGATAACAACATTCTTGTGTCTCATTTATCAATGGACAAATATTTCATAATATCTAGGATAAGTTTACATTTCGAAACGAGACTATGCAGCTTGTTCAACCGTGCAAATGAATTGCAAAGTCAATAGCTATGTAACATATAAAAAAAAAATCAATAAAGTTTTTCAAACTTTTTTTTTCTTCTCAAGAATACATTTTTGCCTTCAATTTACGAGTGGTAAACCTCAAATCATTGATTATAAGCTTAATGATTGATAATTTTACAGTCGGAATTGGAACTAGTGCTTGAAATAGATAATTCAATTTTTTTTTTAAACTCTACTTATTCATGTTCTGGTGTAAAATGAATTTGAAAACGCTGTGGACCCCCCCCCTCCCTCTTTCCCTATTCAAATGCCAGACGTCACAATTGCACGACCCTCAAGTGTTAAGTTGGAGAAAAGAAGTTATCCGAGACGTAAAATCACATGATCTACAAAAGATTTATGCTAATTAGTAACTTGTGTCTACAGATCTAATATATTAAAAAGAATCACAAGCTATTGACGTAAGCAAAAAATTGAATTCAAATTGAATTGTTTCTTGGATTTTTTTTTTGTTTATAAATCTTCGATGTTTATTTTTGTTATTGACTTTATCGCTAAATTCTTGGCAACATTACATTCGAGTTATTGCTATCAGCACTTTAACTTTTTTTAGTAGAGCATGAAATATGCGCATTTGAAGCACAAAACGTTTTAAGGTCGAATGGGAAAAATCTTTAATTTTTGTTATGATAAGTTTATCTTTGTCATTAGCAACTCTTCTTGTTCGAATGAAAATCTTGAGATAATGCTGTGTTTTTGGGGCTCAAGTGGTTGACTTAATTTTATAGTCTTGGCACTCGAAAATGCAGAAAATAACTTGATTGTCTATTTGTGATGTCATTTCCGTTTTAATGATTAAACGCTAAGAGGCTCAAAATTTAACGGTTTTTAAAGATTTAAAATATAACGGTTTTTACAAATTCAAATTTTAAAAATTTAAAAATCTGCCACGCTTCCAACCGTCTGCAAACTCCTAGTTCCAATGTCCATACTAAAAAAATTTCATATAATGTCATATAATTAACAATAATGTACATGCACACTGCAGAGAACCTATGAATGAAGAATGTACAGCAAAAAATATATTTCACCTGACATTCATAACGATACGGAACATTGAGAATCATGATCACACAAAAAGTCTAAAACTAAGCGACGAATGAATGAGAAGTTGTGAGTCATTTTCAAGGAAGAATTAATTACTTATTAACAGGCACGATTTATTTATAAATAATATCGATTTATTTATAAAAATTATTTACTTTTTCTTCTTTTCCGCCTTCTCATTGTCGATTTGCTTGTTTCTTTGAGTAGAAAGAGATGTAAATTGATGCTGTAAACAGAATTGCCTTCAATTGTTGCTTAATAATTCACAGCTCAGGTCTAAAATGTCTCAATTTGCACCTAGATTATTAACATATCGAGTGCAATTAGCAATGCTGTATTGCATGAATATTATGGACGTTAACGACCGATTGAAGCGAATTGCACTTGACTTAAAAATGGCACTCAAGAAAGACATGACAACTAGATAATTGAGCAATTAGTCGGCAATTAACGATCCTCAAGGCTTATCGATAAACATTTTTTGTACTGATAATGCGAATAATTAATTTATAAAATATGTACTGAATTGATAAAACAAGTGATTTCTGGAAATGAAGCTATAGCTTGTCTGTCTTATCTGTCATTTGATAAAAAAAAATGTATTGGAATTATCAATTTACTAATGCTTTATTTTGAATTTTTTGTTTATAGCCAAAATTCTTCTATTTTATGTGATCTTTTATGCCGTTCTCGCTGGTTTCTTTGCTGCAATGTTGGCTGTGTTCTATCAAACTCTCGATGAGAACAAACCGAAATGGCAATTGGATAATGGCTTAATCGGATCAAACCCCGGATTAGGATTCCGTCCAATGCCTCCAGAGTCGAATGTTGAAAGTACGCTCGTGTGGTTTGAGGCATCAAAGGACGAGAATATTGAATATTGGATTGGAGCTATCGATGAATTCTTGGATGGTAAAATTAACACTTTATCAAACTTAACATTCGAGTGCTAATTGTTGTATTGTTTTTCTAGTGTACAAGAAGGCAGATGAAGACACAAGAGCACAGTCAAATCGAGTAGATTGCACTCCAGATACTCCTCCAAAAGACGGTAAAGTTTGTCGAGTTGATACGACATCAGCTAAATTTGGAGCTTGTACAAAGGCTAATCAGTATGGATATAGCAAAGGATCTCCATGTGTATTCCTCAAGCTTAACAAGGTGTGTGTTGTGTGCTGTCATTTGGGAATTTTTTTATTGTTGAATATTAATGTGGTGAATTTAATTAACTTTTATAGATTTACAACTGGGTTCCACAGTATTATAACAAGACTAGCGAACTGCCTAATAATATGCCTGAGGACTTGAAAACTTTAATAGAAGGATTTGATGAAAATGATAAGAAAGTAAGTTTTAAGGAATAACTTTTCACCATTATAGAGACTTAATCTTATTCAATTTACAGCACGAAGTCATCTGGGTCTCATGCGAAGGAGAGAATCCAGCAGATATTGAAAATTTGGGACCTATCAACTATATTCCTGAACGTGGATTTTCAGGATACTATTTCCCATTCTTAAATCAAAAGAACTACTTGCCACCAGTTCTTGCCATCAACTTTGAACGTCCAAAGAGTAAGTCACGAGAGTAATCTGATGTAGTTCCTTAATTAATACCTTATTATGTCTTTGTAGCGGGTGTTCTTATCAACATTGAGTGCAAAGCATGGGCACGAAACATTAATCACGACAGAGCTGAACGTAGAGGATCTGTTCATTTTGAATTGATGGTCGATTAAATTATTAATCGAGAGGCGAAGCAAATTTAAATTTATATAATTTATTAATGAGCGTTTAGATGGTTTAGAAAGAGGAATGAAAGTAACTGGATAGATATCATGCGAGAGAAAGGTAATGTTGACGTTGGCAATAATAAGAATGTTTAGTAATTGAAAAATAAAACCACACACGAATGTTTTAGTTTAAAAAATTTTAAAAAAATGCTGCTAATTAGCAAGATAAAAAAAAATAAGTAAATTATTGAGTAATTTAGAAAAGAACAAGCAAATTGAATCCATTGCGCATTAATTAATTATTAATTAAGTAAATGATAAGAGACAGACACTTATTAAATGTTAATCGATTATTAAATTATTTAATTGAAAGAAGAAAAAAAGTTTAAAAACACAAAACATTTGATGTTTATATTACTTACCACCCATAATTTAATACAGCCTCCCAAAACACACACACGACATGAAAAATGGATAATTGATTAACATTACCCTATTTTTTGTGTACGACGAAAACATGATAAAAATAATTAAAATAATCAACACGAGCGACATGAAATGGTGGTTGCAAAGTTGTGTGACAGTTGTGTGACAAAATGTTTGTGATTATCGTGTTGTCACGACATGGCTTGATATGTTGATGGGATTTTAGATCATCAAGATTGTAGATGATTGGCTTTAAAAACTGTTAACTTAATTTTTACGTACGTATTTGATATGTAAAAAATTTACGTGCGTAATTGATATGTAAAATCTTAAGCGTTACATTACAATTATCATCTACACAACAGCAACACAGATTCCATGTCATTTCAATGTGATTCTCATTTGTGAATGTCACACGAATGTCATTCTGCTATGCATCTCCAATTCTTTCGAGTCGCTTGTGTTAGAATAAAAATAATAATATAAAAAAATGATAATGCAAAACTTTTAATTATAAAAATAGGTGAAAAATCAAGTAAAATAATGCAAACTTTGTGTTCTCATCGTTCTCTTGGCTATCCTATAGACTAATGTAATTAGTCACTAAATGAAAACAGCCGAATTTCATTTTAATTTGTAAATTAAAGATTAAAAAATTAAGCATAATACAAGGAAGTAAAAAAAGAAAAGAAATGAAACTTAGAAAATAATATCTAAATTACTAATGATGCAAGATAAATAAAGTATTTTGTCGATATTTGTTGTTGATGTTTGTCACAAAAAAAATTTTGAATGAATTTTATTTTACTATGAAGAGGATGAACGTCTAATTAAGTCAATTTAAGTTTTAATGAGAAATAGGACGTGAGCTGCACATCATCGAAGTGGCAGTAATGCTGTGTAGCTTAGGATATAGATTCAGAAAGACATGTTATTAGAGGAAAAAATTGGGTATATCCGTGAAACCTTAAAACTATATTATTTAGTCATACAATGATTACCATAAATAATTAACAAGACGAAAAAAAGTTTATATTTATTAATAATTGTTATCATTTCCTCTCTTAGTTCATAATAGCACACAGCGAATAATTAAGTAGTTAAAAAATTTGCCATTAAAGTGAAATTTTAAATTCATTAAAGGACGTGAAAACAAGCTATTTCAATTAAAAAAAAATGAAGAAGCATTAAAACTCAAATTTGAGTTACTCTGTAACTTCTCCTCGTTTTTCCGCTCTCCCCACAATTTTCCTGGCTTTAGCGAACAAATGAATAAATAAGAAAAACAATGAAATAAAGTTTCAATTAAAAAATTGGGAATTTATGACTTTTTATTTCATTTTTGCAGGTCTTCATTCATTTTAGTGGCTGAGAATTAATTAAGAGCTTAAAAAAGCTTTTTAACCGTCGGATTTATTTTAAATTTGGTGTTCTTGAATCAATTCAAATTATTTCCGTTAAAAAAGCTTTAACTGAAAGCTTTTTTTAATTCATAAATCCCAGCTTAACTTTACATCCGCAACGTGAGCGTCTTTCTTTTTTTTCCTTAGACATCTTTATCAACATCGAGTTTTTATAAGTCCATGACTGCATTTCCACATTCCAAATATGTTCATGCAATAGAAAAACTGGCTGTAATCAGCATAATCTTAGTCGAGATGAAGCATATTAAACCTTGATTTTTTATAATGTTATTCGGCATTTCTCATCTTCATAGCTTATTATATCTAAAAGTAGCTTAGTGTTACACTTTGTCTGCTTCTCAACTTTGGCGTTCATTCAATTTAGATTTTTTTGATACCCCCCATGCTTTGTCAAAATGCGCTTTAGTCACCAACATGTGACCATGTCTAACAGTGTCCATAACATAGTTTTCATCATTCCGACAACAAAAGATTAAAGATGCACCATGCAATCATGTCTACCTCGTGATTGAAGAATGCAAATTAATCAATTTATCATTAAGCATGTATAAGCAGTAATTAGTAATAAAAGTTCTATTCAACCGGTTAGAAGTTATTAATTCAGCATTTTTCTAGCTGTGATAAAGCTACAGACGAGATTTACATCAAAATGAGTGCGTATGTGTCTATTAGAGTGTTGCTGTAAACATCAAATCGCATGGAAAATATTTTTATATTCACACCGTTTTCACGTGTGAATCTATTGGTTTTGTTCAGATTGAAAAATCAGTTTTTCGCATTTTGTGAGAAAACAAAGCAAAATTGGTTATAAAAGGTCACAGAAGAAAAGTTTGTGCCTGAAATTTTACATCATTTTCAAAAAACAGATTTCAAATTGGTTGTGGCATTGCTGAGAAAATCGCAAAATACGCTTTCTGTAAGCAAACAAGCAAGCAAGTTAATCAGCAAGAAATCTCAATAACGAGACATTGTAGAGACTTCTAGTTTTTTACATTTGATCCGTGCTGCTCTATAGAAGAGCTGTATTGTTTTTGGGCAAGGTAGGAACAGCCGTTGCTTCAGAAAAAGCAAAACACTTTCCTTTCTTACGAATTTTTCAAATTAAAAGTTCACTGTGATTTTTTTTTTATTTTAAATTAAACTTTGGATGAAAAAAATTTTTTTGAGCAAAGAACCAAGAAGGAAATACATTTTCAATTTTGGACTAGGGGCGACCCTAGTCAATATCAATTTTGTCACTTTTTTCTTGGAAGGTTTATCCAAATGGATTGAAACTTTGCATAAATATTCTAGTGTTTAAAACAAATACAAATAAAACATCCTAAAATTTTTTTGAGCAAAGAACCAAGAAGGAAATACATTTTCAATTTTAGACTAGGGACAGGTCTAGTCAAAATCTAGTTTTTCACTTTTTTTTTTCGAAGGTTTATCCAATTACAGTGAAACTTTGTGTGAGTATACTAATATTTATACAAAACAGTTTTAAATATCTAAAGCAAGAAATGTATTCTATATCTCGTCAGACCCAAATTTTATAAATTTGGTTGTTCATTCAAAAACAACGTGACTTAAAATTTTGTCCCAAAAAATGATTTTTATTAATTCAGAAATGTGTGACCTGAAGATTAGAATGCTCATACAAAGTTTTACTGTATTTGGATTTATCCTCGAAGAAAAAAGTGAAAAACTAGATTTTGACTGGACCTGTCTCAAGTTCATAATTGAAAATGTATTTCCTACTTGGTTCTTTGCTCAAAAAAATTTTAAGATGTTTTATTTGTATTTGTTTTAAGCACTATAATATTTATGCAAAGTTTCAATCCATTTGGATAAACCCTCGAAGAAAAAAGTGACAAAATTGATTTTGACTAGGGTCGCGTCTAGTCCAAAATTGAAAATGTATTTCCTACTTGGTTCTTTGCTCAAAAAAATTTTAAGATGTTTTATTTGTATTTGTTTTAAGTACTATAATATTTATGCAAAGTTTCAATCCATTTGGATAAACCCTCGAAGAAAAAAGTGACAAAATTGATTTTGACTAGGGTCGCCCCTGTCCTCAAAAAAATTTAAGGATGTTTTATTTGTATTTGTTTTAAGCACTAGAATATTTATGCAAAGTTTCAATCCATTTGGATAAACCCTCGAAGAAAAAAGTGACAAAATTGATTTTGACTAGGGTCGCCCCTAGTCCAAAATTGAAAATGTATTTGCTACTTGGTTCTTTGCTCAAAAAATTTTAGGATGTTTTATTTGTATTTGTTTTAAGCACTAGAATATTTATGCAAAGTTTCAATCCATTTGGATAAACCCTCGAAGAAAAAAGTGACAAAATTGATTTTGACTAGGGTCGCGTCTAGTCCAAAATTGAAAATGTATTTCCTACTTGGTTCTTTACTCAAAAAAATTTTAGGATGTTTTATTTGTATTTGTTTTAAGCACTAGAATATTCATGCAAAGTTTCAATCCATTTGGATAAACCCTCGAAGAAAAAAGTGACAAAAATGATTTTGACTAGGGTCGCCCCTAGTTCAAAATTAAAAATTGATTTTCTATGGTGTACTTTTGTCAAAAAAAATTTTTGGATGTTTTTTTTGAATTGACATAATTCTGACATAAATCACATACCAATATTACTTTTTGTAATGCATAGCTTAAAAAAAATCAAATCTTAAATTTCGACTACCCCATCTGAATTTTGTTCATACTCTTCACTGTGGAAACCAAAAAACAAATTCTTTATCTTAAAAAATTTGACAAAATAGCGACATAATTCAGGATTAATCACTTTTTAATAATATTTTAACATTTACGAGAAAATGTGGTTCAAATAAGTGTGAGCTATACTTGTTCATAGTGTTCCCGAGGGTGACAAAATTCAAACTAAGTGTTTTTGTAGCTGACATAATTATGACATAAATTTGGTATAACTTTTGAACTGTTTCGATATGGGTCTCGGCCGTACTTCACGCCCACCCTTCAAACTTATGCTGAGCAAATCTTGGTCTATCCATAAGAATTTTGATGGTACGGTGTGAATATATCCGCATTGGGTTTCTACCCGATACACTAGTTTATTTCAGTTTATTTTATTAATTTTGTATGTTAATTTTGTGAGTTTTACAATGTCTACAACTGAGAAAAATGAGCAGTCTGAAGCTGAACGTCGAGCGATAAACGTTTATTTCGGCTGTTTCAGTTTCATACAGCACAATGATGAGTATTTCTGAGTCTGCGAGCTGGCCTTATTGGATAATAATTATTCTTTTGTTGACAATCGGATGTGCATTAATAATTGAAGTCATTTACTTTATTCGGGTGTTCTTTTGTGTCATTCTTGCTCGATTTATTAAAAGAAAGATTCATATTCTCGAAAAATGTGCAATTGGCGGTGAGTAAAAGTCGATTATGAAAGTGAGATGGTGTACACAGAAACGTGAGATGTTTACAACTACAATATTTATCGACAGTCTGCGATTTTGCTGCTTAAATAAACAAGTTGTGTAAAAAATCGCATATGGATTATAACGGTTATTTTAAATTTGAACTATGTGAAGCAAAACAATTGATGCGAAAGTTTTCAAAATATTTTCGCACGTTGAAATTCAAATTTGAAAATGTCGTTAATTACTATTTTTCACACCATTAATTTCGCTAATGAAATAAGCCTGACAAATAAAGATGTTAAACAATATGACGATTGTGACAACAAAACAAACTTTCGTCATTCGAGAGTCACTCAGATTATTCAAATAAAGCGGAAGAATGGAAATAATCTTTAAAATACTTCAGACTTGTGACGCAATTAATTAAGTCGGACTTAGAGATAATTATGGAAAGATGTTACTTTTTTCTTAATAAAACAAAAATCAAACAATGTCTACGTCGTACGAAAATATTGTAAACTTTCACATCTTTCGACAGCAAAAAATGCCATAAACTGTGAAAATAATCATCTCTTTTTCAGGTATCTGCCTTACACGCGATATTGACGTAATGTTGAGCCATATGAATAATGCAAGATATCTTCGTGAACTTGATCTTGCACGAATTGATTTCTATTTAAGAACTGGATTATATGATGAAATGCGAAGGAATAAAGGCCAAATTGTTTTATTTAACGCTAATGTTAGATTTAGGAGGTTTATACCAATTTTTGGGAAATTTAAGATATCAACAAAAGTGCTGTATTGGAATGACGATAATTTATTTTTGGAACACAAGTTTATTGGAGCTAACGGAATGATTCATGCGATATTTTTATGCCAGCAAATGTTTGTGAAATGTTCAGGAGAATCTATATTAGAGGCTTTATTGAAGAAGGGAGATCCAGTGCTGGAAAAGCCTGAAATGCCTATGGAAGTAAGTTATAGTGTTAAGATCAAATAAGTATATAAGGGGTCGTTCACTTTTGACGTCCGGGGGGGGGGGGGTCAGTAAGAATAGAACAATAGAAATTCCTGAAAATCCATTGTTCTTTTTTGAAAAATGACCGTCAATTTCGGACGTCATTAGTGAACAATTCTAAAATACTTTCCAAGAAGAGGCTCGAAACTTTAAAAGGAAAAAACAACTAATTCTAGTAGTGAATACAATTTAAATTATAAATGACAGTTGATAAAGTTTATCTTTTTGGGAAACAAAACCAGCTGAAACAACGAACAGCTGCAGTTTGTTGCTTAATTATCCGCAATTTTATTAAATGCCATAAAAAAATCAATGTAAATTGCACATGTGATGCAATTAGCATCTCAAACCTGTAAAATGACACAGACAAGTTTAAAATTAATTTCATATTTCTTTGTCATTCTTTAAATTAGGTATTAAAGTTTCTAGAGCTGCAAGACATATCCAGAAAATCCCTCAGCAACTCTGTGTAGCACGATACCATCCCACGTAACCATAAGTCGACGAATGGAAGATTTTATGTATTACATCAAAATCTTCCATGTATGTTCCATATGTACATTCCATGTATCGTACATTGGACATTATGCTAATATGAAAAGGGACGATTTTTAGTCGATTTCACGTCGATTTCACGTCGATTATTTTTTTGAACCAAAATCAAATTTTTTTTGACCGTTACAATATAAAAACCGTTTAACGGAAAAATTTTGAATTTTTTTGTATGAAAATATTTTTTGTTAATTATACTATAATTTGTAGACAAAATCCAAAAAAAATTAATTAAGGATTTTGTCTTTGAAAAAAAGAGTCGAAGTCTTCATTTAAATGAATGATTCGCATGCAATTAATTTAATTAATTAATCACACTTTGTATGAAAATTTGGCTGTGCCTTATATAAGTGATTTCTGATTGCACTTGTGAAGTATATAGCGGCTCAAGAAAAACGACGTGTAATGGATGAAAAATCGACGTCTATTGGATCATCCAAAAAATTGTACATTTAAGTCGATTTTTTCATTGACGGCGATATTGGTTACGTGGGATGCCAAAGTAATTAAATGAATCAATCAACCGAATGTATTTAGATTAGCGATAAGTGGGTACAATTCGAAGGTAAACAAAGGAACTAAGCATGCGCACCAAACATCTGATTTCTATAATGTATAAAAAAGAAGGAAAAAAGCTTTCGCAATTGCCGTGTGCGAAAGTTTTTACAGTCATCTTTGAGAACTTGATATCTTCCTTATGCAGGTCATAAAAAATTGAAATAATTTAAGAAATTAAAGTGTAAGGAAGAAGCATTAAAGTTAAAGGAGTCAATTGATATTATTTAAGTTATAATTTGATACCATTAGTAATAAAAATGTGTTCGTTGACGATCAGTAAAAGGTTTAAGAAACCAATTTGAAATTTTATTGCATTTAAAATTCATTTTTTTATTCTTTAATTAATTTATAACTCAATCAGAGATGGAAGAGAGAAAATTTTAATAAATAATAAAATTAAATTGTGTGAAAAGGAACAAGTACTTCCATAGCATTCAAAGTTGCATAAGAAAAAGTCACATTTTATTGATTTTTGACTTCGTCGTTGACCTCGACCAAGGAAAATTGAATTTATTATTGACTGCATAAATGCATTAGGACACAGGAAGTGAGAACGTGTCAAGCAATTTAAAACAGAATGGAACTTTGTTCAATTTTGTGTGTCCTTATTATCATCATTTTGCTATTTTATTGCTTTTTTGAGCTTCACTATTTTCTTCGGATGATATTGACACTTGCTCTCGCCCGATTGACTAAGAAGAAGGCTCACATTATGGATTTGACTACAATAAATAGTACGTAAATAATTGATGGATTGACGCTTCATTTAATGACTGTTTTCTTATACATTATTTTAGGTATTTGTCTTACAAATGATATAGACACACTTATAACCCATATGAATAATGTAAGTGCTTTATTACTTTATCTCTTGACATAATCACTGGCGCTGTCTATTTGACTAATTGCTATAATTTGATTCGAACTTGATTCCAGTTCAAAATTTAAAAAATATGAAGTTCAAAAGGATAAAAAGCTTTGATTTTGAACTTTTAAGTCTTGCTCGTTCTTATCTTAAATCCTTAAATCTGATGAATTGATTTCTATGCCCATTCCAGAGTCGTTATTTACGTGAGCTGGACTTTGCACGTGTTGACTTTTATGAAAGAACTGCACTTTACAAGACTATTCGGAATAAAGGTGGTGGAATTGTTCAAGGATCAACGACAATCCGTTATCGTAGATTTATCAAACCCTTCTCAATCTTTCAAATCACAACGAAAATTGTGTACTGGGATGATCAAAGTATTTTCATCGAGCATCGATTTATCGGCAAAGATGAGTTTATTCATGCTATAGCAATATGTAAGCAGAGATTAATTAATTGTTCGGCGGAGGATATTATGGATGTTATGTTATCTGAGACGCCTACTCATGCAGACTCTACTGAAAAGCTTGAAAATGGTGATTTGGTCAGGTATAAACCTGATATGCCTTTAGAAGTGAGTTTAATGGTCCATTAATTTACTCAAATTACATTATTGACATTTCTTCTTCTTTGTACATCCACAGATATTGAAATGGAACGAATCTAATGAAATTTCTAGCGCAAATTTGCGGAAAATTTAAAGCTTTTTCTTGTCAAACTTCCACGCTTGGTACGGAAGTTACTTTTAAGTTTGAAACTTAATCTTTCATCAAATGGAAGGAAGTTGTTATCGGAAAAGACTTGGACATAAATTGTATGAATTTAGTTTATCTTTTCTAAATGAGAAAATTTAAGAATCGTAATGCTGAAATAAAATCAAAAATTTGACAAGTTAACTGAATGAATAAGAACAGACAATTTTATGAGATGAAACTTTATATCTCCTGCTGATGTGAGATTACAGTATGTGATGTAGAATGTGAATGAATAAAGCGCATTCCTGTTTCGATTGGTCTAGTCTCTTAGATCCTTGTTTTAATAATAATACTTTAATTTCTAACATCTCTCAAAAATTTGAGTTTTTAACGATTTTTTTAAAATTTGAAATTTAATTCAAAATTTTGAAAATAACGGTCTTTCATCCTGCAAACTCAAAGTGCTCCTTTAATTTACTCTAATATTGCTTTAGGGCCGTTCACTTATTACGTTACGCAAAAAAACGACTTTTTTCACCCCCCCCCCCCCCCTCTTGTTACAATATGTTACAACTCACAACCCCCCCCCCCCCTCCCCTGAGCGTTCATAATTTATATTATCATTAAAAAGGTGGAAAATTTAAAAAAATGTTTTTGGTGCGAATTTGTAAATAAATTTTTTTCGTGAACTTTTTTTAAAAGACAGACGACAGTTAGAACGTTACATACTTCTTGACACCCCCCCCCCCTATGTTACATTTTGTTACAATTTTCCAAACCCCCCCCCCCCCCCTAAAATGCGAACGTAATAAGTGAACGGCCACTTATAGAAATGCGCTAATATTTAGACATAGACATGCTTAATCGACTGAGGTGATGAAAAATATGAATTTGATTACAACTTTGCTTCCAAAAAAACTGTCGCAAATGCACAAGAAAAGCAATCTGTTTTTAAAAAATCTTTATTTATCAAAATATATATATCAAAAATAGCTACATCAGGATTTGTCTTTTTCTATTAAAAAAAAAAAATACTTGTCTCTTAAATGTCTACACACATAAAATTTGAGAAAATGAAAAAAAATTCCTTAAAAATTAAACAGATCAATAATTGGAAGATGCGTTTCAAGTACATTATAATATTTTCATTTTCATATAAAAAAAATTGTTCTTTTAAAAACAAATCACATCATTTTTAAAAATCTTTATACATATCATTATAGTCATTTATAAAAAATTCTCTTTTGTTTATTTGTATTGGCACATATTGTTGTTTATCAGAAATAAAACAAAAAGTCTTCGAAGTTGTCATTCAATAAGATTGCATTGGCAAGTTTAAAGATATAATAAATTTCAAAGGTGAGAAGACATACTCAAATTTTATGTCTAAGCACATAGGGGCCATTCACTTATTACGTAACGCTTTTAGGGGGGGAGGGGGGTCTAAGATTTTGTTACGGTTCAAACAAGAAAATTTTTTTTTCATACAAATTTTGTTACGAGGGGGGGGGGGGTCTAAAAAGTCATTTTTTGCGTTACGTAATAAGTGAACAGCACCATAGCGATTCAATTTTTATTCCAACATTTTGAATATTTCAGCCAAAAGAACTAAAATCGGAATGTCCCTAGACATTAGAATTGGAATTCATACTCAGCCCTAGAAATTCTATAATTCAATCATTATAAAATAAGTATGGAAGATATGTTCAAAGGTTGCTATGATTGTAGAACGAATCAGTCGCGAATTAGTGATAAAAATAAAAAGTGGAAGAAATATATTTAACAAAAGGATTTAATCCATCTTGTTATCTGCTTTAGAGCTTAAATTCTTGTGAGAAAAGTTTTCATAATCATAAGATCATGTAAGACAGTCATTAATCAAGAGAAATCCTTTGTCGACATCTCATGCAATGCACGAAAGCAAAAATTTTGTACTATTTTTTTAATCCGTCACGCCAAGATGTACGAGTTGCTCCATTACTCTTTGTAAAAACGTTGGATCTGGATACATTGAGAATTGTGTCTTATGCTCGACATTTTTCCACACTACAACATCCTCCTTTCCTGTTGTTGCTGATCTACCAATTGAAAATAGTAATCCACGATCGAATGATATTTTTAGAAATTTGAGAATCTTTCGACCCGTTTGATTTTCAGGTAGGTAGCAAATTCTTGGAAAACCGACAGCAAAAAATGCCCGACCAGGATTTGGATGATTCTGATTTTGAATTCCACTTGCAATGCTGCGAAATTTTGAAGAATAATAAGTAATTTTCTTTACTTAATAGTCATCATATAACTTACTTATAAATTATTTGAATTGTGTTGCAGTCTTCATGACCTGGCAGGGATTTTGGAATAGTAATCCAGCTCATCGTTCCTGGAGGCTGATTTCCTCTTTTATCTCCATATATTATACCACACGTTGGACATTCAATGTATAAATTCTAAGAAAATAGTTGAAAATAATTTACAATTTATTAGAATTGGAACTAAGAGACCACAATGACTCACCTTTTGTAGATCACTTTTCTGACTTAAAATTAATTCATTAAGACAATTGAGATGCATTAGATGCTGACATCTTGATAATGACACAGTTGGGTTCTTGGCACTGTTATCTCGGTGGAGTTCATTAAGGCATATTGGACATGGCGGTGCTTGTGGTAAAATGTCATTTACAACGCTCACAAACTTTGAAATTTGTTCACTACTGGAATCGACTCCAACAATACTGCCTTTAATTATCATATTCATACTCATACTACTAGATAAACTACTATGGCTTGATAAGAATACATCATCGTTCTCGCTACTTAATGAGCAATTTAATAGATCTGATACAGATCCGTAACTTGTTTTCCCGCGTACTGAACCACCGCGACTATTTTTGCTTCCATTGCTCAAATATGTAGAAATTGTATCAACACTCGGTCGCCTTGAGTTTATGCTCACTGTTTCCATATCGAGTGTTGACGTACTACCATGAAGATTCTTACATAATGATTTTTTCGATGATTTATTACTGTTTACATGACTCAAGAGAAAACCTTTTTTATGATTATTGTTATTATTATTATTATTTGAAGACGATTCTCCCTTGTCATGATGATTGTGATGATGATGCGAAAATATGTTGAGATTATTGAGAATTTGTCGTGCGAGATTCGTTGGAGAGGTTGTCGATTCAGAATTATTAGTTTTTGTAGGTTTTGGTGGTTTCGTTAGTGGCTTTACTGTTGCTTTACCGCTAGGTGGAATTCCTGACATTACATGAGATGGAGCTGAACGAGTACTACCTGTTTGAGATATTGTATCACCATAATTTGATAGTCTAGGTGATGATGTTGAAAGCGCTTGTTGATGATGCAGATAATTTGACTTTACACTTCGTCTATTAGCCGAATTGATTGACATTCTACTTGTACTTAAATTATTAGCACTATTTGCTGGATGAACAAAATTTCCAATTTGTTTTGTATTTAATACCATTGATGATTGCGTTGAGTTGATTGCACTTGGAAGTTTTGTCAGTGGATACGGTGCTTGAGATACTCTACGTATTTGACGAATCGGTCCACTTGGTTTGCGTGTTTGAGTCATGTTTGAAAAGTCTATAATATATGGCATATGAATGTATGATGATGAAATATCAATTTGTTGACTTCCATTCGACCATGCATCCTCTATTAAGCATTGAATTTCCATATCATATTGGTGCCATTCACTATTTGTATTTCCAGCATATTCCCATCTAACGCCTTTGCCAGCAGGACTTGATGGATTATAAAACTGTCTTCGTACATTCACTAAAGGATGCTCAGCATCTGGTTTCTCAGAACACTGTTTCATTGTTCTCAAATTCACGTAATATTCAATTAAGTTTGCATCAGAATCGCCGAGAAAGACTTGAGTCAATTTCTTTGCATACGCTCTCTCTAAATGCTGAGAGACGGACGATGAGTATGGAACGTATTTGTTCAATAAAATTGACTCTACTTCCCATACCACAACAACGCAGTTACCATTGGAACTCATTATAGATGATTAGCGATGTCGTGATTTCGTGATTTAAGCGCAAAAAATACTTTACGGATAGATATAAAGAATATTTGTTTTTCTCTAATTTCTAATATTCATGTTTAAAAAAGTTCAATGACTTTGTTTTCACAAAATTTTATTTCAGATATTTGCACAATCTGCTTGATATTCAATACTGCACTTTTGTGTATTATCTTGCGAACACATTTCACTTTTAAACTAAGTTATTTTAAAGGAAGCATAATGAGATATAACTAAGGAAAATCAAAATTATAATCAGGTGGTTTACAAATTTCTCCAAATAAAAAATTTCGTTTATTTTTCATCCAATGTTGATGATGCTTTTGTATTAACTTAAATTTAAGATTTTCTTTGATTTACCTATATGATTCACAATGATTGATGTTGCTGTTGATTTAATATAACTTTATAATGTAAGTTTGATTCATGAATGACATTAAGTATCCTTTAAATTCTATAATTTTCAAAGTAAACAATGATTGTGTGATTTTCCCATCAATTGTTAAAATCTCAACGAAATCTCAACGAAATCTCAACGAAAATCAGAAATTCAAATTTTAAAAAAACGTTACAATAAAAGTCTTTATCCAATAAGATTTATGCTTGCTATTCTAATAATCTTATTATTGTAGTATGATGTATCATAAGAAAAACATAAATATTCTAATAAGAAGACTATCTTATAATTTAAATATACGCAATATAAAAACACATGTAACTTGATTCATAATGATTAACATGTGTCAAATTAATGTTCATAATAAACATAAAAAAATTCTTTCCATTTCTCCTTTACTCCAATCTTCGTCACACTGAGTGTATACACATCTAGGAATTTTATGACCCTTGATCTTATTTAAATATTTACGAAAAGTGAAGAAATGAAGAAATTCTTAAAAAGAATAAGAAGTAAAGATAAGAAGGAATGAAAAATGCAGTAAAGGAGAAGCAACGAACAAGTTCAAATGATGATGATGACATCATATAAAAATATGCAGTTCGCATCGTCGACGAGTTGAACTGTATTATTATTAATATGACTGTGTATGGATGTATTAAGGGCTTTTCATTAAGCTGCTCTTGCTGTGGTGACCGCAAAAATATGTACGTAAAAATTGTGCCTCATTTTGCATCAATGTTCGTCTGAATTCATGTACCGCATATAACTTAAAAGGCGATTATGTGTTAAAAAAGGCAAACACCATTACAACCATCAATAAACCTTACATTTTTTTCTGCTAGTTGCTGCTTTATTGAGAGAGTCATGCGAAAACTTTTTTATTTATTATTTATTTTCATTTCATTAATAGAGTCAACCAGACGCAATTGGGAATTGATCTCTCACTTGATGCGTTCGTCTAGCAACAACCTGTGAATATCGATGAAAGACTTTGTGAATATTGTGATAAAAATTCAAGACAATACTTGTGCTATATTAAGAAGTGATACGAAATTTTTACACAGACAATTTTTATAATTGAAAATTTAAGCAACCTTTGTGTAAATTCGAGTAGTGAAAAAATAAAGTTTTTAAAAATTCGCAAAAGTCAGAGTGAAGATAAGGCATAAATTAAAGGAACTTTCTACAACAATTCAAAAGGTAAAGAAATTTTTTAAGCATGAACACTTCAATGGTTCTTAATTACATACAAAACGTATAAATTATCTATCTCAATGAATTTAATATCCGATTCAGCATGTAGGCAGTAAATACAAATTGATTTTAAAATGCATTTTAATTTACAATTTTATCTGAAGATTACGATCGGATTAAAATCATTAAATGCTTTGCTTTTTTGGATGGCAATTTTTATTTCATTGTCTAGTGACTGACATCCTATTGTGTCCATTATTGACCATTTCATCAAATATTCATTAATGCATCCAAAACAGATGTCCACAAAAATTACAAAATGATCATTTTTGGGACAACAGAAAGCAACAAAATCTTTTCATGTCCACCGCACAGTGAGACACTTTTTAAATTGCTTTTAAAAATCATATCTTGTAACTCATTAGCATGTCCAGCTCTTGTTTTTATTTTGCTGGTGAATGTACGATGATATGCGTTAATTGATTTACAAAATGCAGCCATTTATTTATGAATTATTATCTCGTTCAGTTGATGTTTATAAATTGCGCTGCATAAATTTCTGATAAATCAAAGTTATTATGCCTTTATTTGTTATTCAGTGATAAAATAATGACGACAGGATTGATGGGATGAATAAATTACTAGGATCTATAGTTTGTGGGGTATTAAGTTGGAGGTTTACTGTTATGATCAGTAAGTGCTAGTTCCAAAATGGATACATTTAGTTCTTTGTTGTAGTTTGTTTGCTTTTCCTGACTTTATGGTAGCAAAACTTAATTTCAGAGATTTGTAGACAGAATTGAGCCAGACTTAGCTGTGATTCTTCACCATCCCCTGTATCCCCTTCAAAAACTTCCCAACAGTAGAGTGAAAATTTTTGCAATACTACTCATTCCGCAATTCTCGCTCCCTAAAAGCCACTCAAAAGTCTTAATAGCCAATAACAGCACTTAAAAGACATGATCCCCTTTCAAAGAGCAGCTTAAAGTGAATAAATTAGCTTCATTTGTCGTTCAAAAGTGCGTTAAAAATTGATTTATTAGTTCACGTGTGATTTTTCAGTCTAGAAATGCCAACAAACCTTTTTTTTAACTTCTTTCCTTATTTGGGAGTTGTCAGTGCGTTTGAAAAATACGTGATTTTGTGGTCACATAAAATAAAAATTTCGAAAATTTAAATACCACAGATTCAAATTAATTGACTTTATCTTAAGAATTTCAATTGGTTTATTCGCATAAGTCAGTCCAGTCATGTATGTTGACCATTTTTAGTCTTTATTCATTAAATAATTTTTTTAATAAAAACATATTCAGCGAGTGAGATCGATCCAATAACTTAATCTTAATTCTCAATATCTTATGAATATTTTACAAGAATTGGACTTCCAAAATCGGCAAATCGTGTGTGTCTTTATTATCATAATAATTCTAATTTGGATTATAGCATATTGGATATTAATTAGTTTATAACAAATGATAAAATTTATTTGACATACGATTTTCGATAAATTTAAAATTTTAATTAATTTATTAGACATTTTTTGCTATTCCTCGCATTGATCCAATTTAGAAAACAAACACGCTTGAGTGTCTTTTTTGCAACTTTAAATTTATACAATTTTTTATGTGTTTTATCCATTTATGTGCAACTTGTTTGCTCTTGATATATGTTACATGCTAAAAGACTGCTGTACTGGGGTAATTAAACTCCATATCTTAGATTCAGATCGTTGATGGAACTGCTAAGGAAAAGAAATTATTTCTAGACACAAGCTACTCACTCACTGTGTGTGCCTCTATAGACAGGAATTTTATTTTTTATCGTTTTATGGAAACGACGAGATTTTTTTTTTTCGTGAGTGAATATTCTGACAGTTTCAAGGGCTTTGGTGCATTCATGTTGGTATGAGAATTATTTAATGTGAATTGATGCTGCAATTTGTATACTTTGAATGCAAAAAATGAATAGGAGGATAGTAAGGCAGTGCCTTAAGGGATTTCCATATCCAAATGCTGACATTTTAATTGTTGAATCATGGATTTGATGGAATTAAATGACGAGCTCAGCTTTAGTTTTGCAATCCCAAAAAATTATTCAAAGCGAAGACCCCTAAACTTTAAATCATCAATCAAAAGCTAGTTTCAGGACAGTTCATAGAAGCAATAGCTTCATATAAAGCTACAAGGATGTCACAGTCATAAAAATACGAATGCGATCATTGAACGATTCTCGGATTTTGTTTTGTTTTTCATTGAATGTATGATTGCGATTTCATGATTCATCAAGTCGTTGACATAATTAAATCAAGTAGCAAAGGAATCAATCACAAAATTCAAAACTTAATCGCATTAAAGAAATTCAGGATAAATTGGATAGATATCAACAGCTTGTTCTAGAAAGTAAAAAAAATTCAATCAGCTTACGTTAATGAGCTTTAATAAATTGATCTGTATATTTATCGGAGGAAAGAGGCAAGCCCTTTACATGAAATACCGCCACTTCCTTTTCTAGTCATGAACGCGTGCACATACGGTAATAATATTAATCTATATGCCAAAGTGATATTCAGATATGCATTAAGTAGAAGTAATTATGGAATAAGAAGGAGATAAATTATGATGACCTTGTCAAAGATCATAAAACATGTTTCATATCATTTGCCTTCACTCTGCAATCTCCTTCTCTCCGTCACTCTCTTCAGCAATGGACATATTTGTGAATATTATATTTATTTATATTTATCGAAATTAATAACAACATTTTGGACATCTATAAAAATTGCTCATTGAAAATTTGGAAAGTGATCGTTAAGGTCACAATGTAAAATCTTAGTAAGGACCAGAAGTGCCGAAAGCGACTGCCAAAAAAATCAATTTACTGTCATTTCTCAGTGTTTTAATTTTCAACTACATCTGCATGTATTATCCGGTCTATAATATTTGGCTGGATAAAAACAGCAGTTAACATATGTTCAACTTGTTACTGCTGATGCTTCAACCTTCCAATTTCAATAATATTCATGAACTCTCATTCAGCACTGCGCATTTTAATTGAACGAACAAAAAAGAAATTACACACTTTGTAAATAGGCAAAAGCCTTTTTATTATTTAATCACTGACATTGCCTTTTATGGACGCTTTTTTTTCTTCTCTTTGACTAAAATTTCATTGCAATTCTTGTCTTCTTCTTGAACTTCACTTTTTTTTTTATTTTAATTCATTGATTTTATTTTATTTTTCAATAAAAATACGTAGATGGGGGATTCCGAGGATTGATTTTATGATAGTTTTATTACAACTCTAATGCAATGTGCTTTGCATTTTAAGCTGTTGATTAAAGTTTTTGTAGATTTCAGCTCCTTTTATGAAAGGATTGAAATTTTAAACTAATTGTAAAGCTTTAAAATTAAAGGATTTAAATAATTTTCAATTCTGGATTTGGAAGTCATACATCTTTGAATGAAAAGCTTTGAATCAAATCCCAAATAGTGTCAA